ATTTCGAGTGTATGCCATTCCATAACATTGTGTATGTTAGGATTGTATCTTAGTTGCATTTCATGCATGTCATGCATATTGCATCGTGTTTGGGATAGAAGTTAGCCCGGGCACGGGAAACGAGGTACGTTCCGTACTTCGAGTGACGGAACGTGTCTCAATTCCCTAGTCACCGCACTCCGGATCATCCATGATGGAGTTAGGTCTTGTTGTGTTTATATATGCATTCATTCTATATTGAATTGCACAAATTCGACTCCTCGGCCATCATGCATCGAGATGCGTGATTGGTGGCACGAGGATCGAGGCATGCATACATTTGTGAAAATACATTGCTATGCCCCTTTCTTGCTCTCTGTTGCAGCAAATCAAGAATCAGCAACCTTCCGAGGCTTGGCACGCATTTCAAGAACAGGTGCAAACAAAGGCTAATTGGGGCATCGTCATGAATTTCCGCGCAAAGGCAACCCGTGCATGCATCATTCATCATTCATCAGAATCAAGGCAGTCCCTAGCTTGCACGCCAGTTTTACAGCTTTCTTAGTTAATTTGTAAATTAATTAGGAATTTGTACATTATTTGGACTGTATTATTTGGACTGTAATATTCTTTTATTCGGGACTGTATATTTATTCGGACCCTCTGCGCGAGGGCATAATTGTAATAAGTGTGCGTGAGTGTGATGTATGTCTTCCAACCCCACGTCTTTCTTCCCTTTTATTTACCTGCTTATGATGGTTAGATTAGGATATATTTCAATTAGCATACAGTATGATAACATGTTTGCATTCATTCATCTGTTTTGCATGCACCGGGCTCGCTGCATCATACTAACTGCATTTGTATTTCAATTCCAAGTTGAATACATGTTAGCTGTAGCATTCCATATGCCATGTTTAGAATAGCCGAGCCTGCTATAGTTTGCATTCTTGCATGTGTTGCATTAGGCATTTCTGTATACTTAGGATTCATGCATGATTTCTAATGAGTTTTTGTTTTGGCTTGGAGTACTCGGTGAGTTTTATGCTTTAGCATCCTTGCATGCGTGTGAGTGACTGCCATGAATAGCATGCTTACCATGAGGTTATATGCTTGTGTGATATAATTGCCTGAATGCCTGTGGCTGAAGGTTGGGTCACTTGGATTGGAATAAATCATCAATTGTTTGTTTTAAGCCCACTAGATAGTGGCAAAACCATCTTTTCTAAGCCCACCTGCTGGTGGCAAAATCTGCATTTTAAGCCTACTTGCGAGTAGCAAACCATCTTTCAAATAAACAAGCATGAAATGTTTTGTTCCAATTCGGACGACCCAGTCTATACTTATATGCTGTGTGCATCACATAGTAACCTAGGCTAATAACCGGAATAAGAATACACAAAGTTTTCAAAAATAGATATCATGGTTAGTAGAGGCCGATCTTTGATCGGGCGAGCGGGGGTGCTCACGAAGTGACCTTCCCCAATCGTACCCAAGTTCCCGAGCCGAGGCAACTTTGGTGATGACGGACACGTGGCCTTTGGCACCGAGTCAGGGTTTTCTAAATTTTTCCAAAATAAAATATTTAGGTGGCGACTCTGTATCTGGCAAAGCAGTCCATGTTTGACACTTCTTTCAAAAAATTTGTTTTTTCTCAAAAAACGATTTGCCGGATTTGGACTCTTTGGTTTAGACTTAGAACCGTGACAAATTTGAGACTCCTGAGCTATAGTGACTCCAAATGAACAGAACGGGATTTCCCTCATGGGGCGTTCGGGGACGTCTACACCAAGGCCAAGTCTTCATGAAGACGTTCGTTTTCAGCGATCATGTTCTCCAACTTCTGTTCATTTTGCTTTGCTTGTTCCATGATCGCCTGCATTGTCTCATGCTCCGAAGTCGAGGATGAGGCGAAGTTCAAGGCACGTCTTGCGGCGATAGTGTCCGGTCCAAGCATATGTTTGTTGGAGTGAGGTCGTCTCTTTGCGTGGTTTTATCAGTAACTATTGGAGGATCTTCTGTTACGCCTGCCATGGATATATTTGAGTATTCTCACAGACGGCGCCAATTGTGGAAAAGTGGTTTGGAAATACTCTTCTGATCATAGGGGACACTAATGATCCTCTTCGAGTCACCTGAAAAGAGATAAACACTTTGGTCGGGAGTGCCGGAATTAGCACTCCGACGTGCAAGTTAGTCTTCACACTCAAGTTGACTTGTATTCTAAGTTTAGCACAGTAGTTCTCACCTGCCTCTTACTGGCTGATATTCTTCTATTTATATCCTCTCTCTTGGGCCTTGGGATTAGGCCCACTTTCTGTTCATCATTCGGCTTCCTCTAGAACAAATTGCTTTTTACTCGGCCCTTTCCCTATTCAGCTAGGACTGAGTAGGGTAGGATTCGGATGTGGGATGAAGCCGAATACCATAAATATATTCCAGTTCTCCAAGTTCATATACTCGGCCTTTAATTCTCTAAGTGTGTGTAATTGTGTAATATCTTGTACCATCATAAATTGTATCATAATAGTTTCACATCTGCATGAGTGAGTTCACATCTCAAACAACTTTGCTAAATCTATTTTTCCTCTAAATATACTTGTATAAGCATTTATATGTTTATGATGAAGAAAGTGAAAATGATGTATTGCATGCTTGTACAAAAGAAATAAAAATAAATGTATTCTTAGTTTGAATTGTAAAATTTAAATTCTTTTTTGTGATGCAAACCAGTGAATGATTTTGTAATTTGCAACGTCCATTATATTAAAGGTTGGGCATGATTTGATACAAGTATATATGGTCATCTATTGGTTTTTTTTTTTTCTTCAAACCTTTAGGCATATGAACTTCAGCTAAGTTTGTTTGAGATGCTCAGAATTTTATTGATTTAATTGGTTACTACTCACATAAATGACTTGCTATAAAAGATTAGATGCCTACTTATTTAGAAGTTAACACAATGCCTATGGTTATTAAAAAGTAGATCTATGTGCTGAAATTCCTTATTTAAGTGTTGAATTATCAATAGAAGCTTTAAAGCTGAAGTCAAGTCATTAAATGCTAAAACTTTGAAGAAGTTTAAACATGGTTTTGAAGGCCAGAAGAGTATGATAATAGCTTTATGTACATGCTTAGTTGAAATTGAAATATTTTCATGAGGTGTTATATCTTATTTTTTCTATTTGTTTTTGATTGATAGTGTGTGCGGATTTGGTTCGCAGTGCCAAGGATAAGAGGCTGGGGGTGAAGGGACCTGTCAAGATGCCCACCAAGGTTCTTCACATCACTACCAAGAAGTCCCCTTGTGGTGAAGGTACTGAGTATAGAAATATTTTGATCTATTACTTGATGTTATTATAGTGGTAGGTAGTTTTGATTAAAAGAGCATACAACTGCACTTGTAACATTTTCCATTGGATTGTGAATTTGTTTCTATGTTTAACTGTTCACTGAGGTTTCCATGTATTTATGTCCTGGCTGGTTGGTTTTTTTAGTAGTTTATTGTAATGTTTTTGTGCATTGGTCAAATGTGCTTGCTTAATATATAGCTACATAATAAACTTTCATGTCGTGCAAACCTTTTGCACTATGACTTGTGGAAGGACTCGTGCAATGTATTACCTGTTTAGTCTAATCTGGTTTTAAAATTACTCAACTGCACCCAAATAGCAACTCTTTAAGTCTTGCTAGTATATTATGTTGACAGCACATTACCTTTCTGACTGTTGTGTTGTTCATTTGACACAATTTGAACATCTTACTGAAGTAACAATGCCCAAAAGCTTCCCTTAGTCCATGTAAAAATTGGTTTTTAATGTTGGTTAATTAATTTGAATCTTTCAAATGGAGTCTTAGAACTTTTTACAAGATTGTGTGAAGTTTCTTTGTTTTACATGGCATATTTTTCAGTGGTGCTTTCTGCCTGTTGGCTGCTTTCCAATAGCGATTATTATGTGTGCGAATTTTAAAATTTGAAAAATACGTCCAAACTACTAGGGGCTGTTGTGGATAGCTCATTGTAGGATGTAATTAAAGGTTCTTTGGATAGTTCATGTTTCATGTTATACCAATAGTTCAATTGGCAGAGAGACTTCTTATTAGTGACTATCCGTTGTGTGAAATTGATGGAGTTCCAATTGGGCCCAAATATTGCAAATCTGTCTTAAAGGTGAAAAAGCCGAATGCTTCTTTGGAAACACCATCCCGAGGTCTAAGAACAATTGAAAAATCTGTTGGAAGATACATTGTGTGGCGCTTCATTCATGTATATGCTACAATCTTATTTATTTATTTATTTATTTTTTGAAATAAATATCAAATATTTTATATTTTTTATAAGTTTGAAATTAATTATATTGTAAATAATTTTTTTTGTTTCTTTCTTTTTGCAAATGCTATCTTTTTGAGTACATGATGATATATTCGCATATTGATATTGGAGCTTACTGTTGATACTTTTTTTTTATCAGCAAAAAAGAAGTTTTATTGATGGAAAAACATAACGAGTATGATAACTTACATCAATAAAGAGGAGGGTGCAAAAAGTATCACAATGAAACATTTAGATCTCAACTAGGTGGTACTAAAACAAGCTATAACATATATGTTCTTTTATTTGTACTGTCGATACTTTTGTTTTGTTTGAGATACAAATTCAAGTTAATAAATTATTAAAAATTATTAGTATTGTTGGAGGATGTTTTATATATTTTTGTAAAGAATGTTTGGTTGACGCTGTATTGTTACAGGGTACATATATATTGTTATTCGTATATATGATTTTGTGAATGTGAATGTGAATGTAGACATTTGTGGATGTGGGTGTATTTTATTTTAGAAAATATTAATAATTTGCACTAGGCATGAATTAATAAAATATTTATTATTTTATGAAAATATTTTTTTTGCAACAGTAATAAACAGTTGCTATGTAATCATCATTTTCTTGCATTTTATTAGCAACGAATTAACCTGTTGCATATATATATTAGTGTCATCTTTAGTGATGGTTTAAACGGTTGCAAACCCATTATTGATTCAATTCTTTTGTTTTTGCGACGTTTAAAACCGTCGCTAATAATACTTTTCACAACGTCAACTATCGTTTCTAAAAAAAAATTTTGCTGACAGCATCTTTAACCGTTGCTAAAAGTGATGTTTTTTTTGCTTTTTTATGTTAGGTTAAATCGTCGCAAAAATTATTGATTTATCGCCACTACCAAAAGCGACGGTTTGTAACCGTTGCAAATATTTTTTGTCACGTTCCCTTCGGCCACCTCTCATTTTCCATCGCTACTATGTCGCAAAAAGTCTTTTGTGATGACATGTGGACCTTTTGTGACATTTGAGACTGTCGCAAAATGTCTAGTTCTTAATAGTGATCGAGCCCCATGACCACAATGACTCATAATACCTACCACTTAACTCAGAACCGAAAATCACAAAAAATTATAATTGGACATATAATATACTCCCAAAAAGAATATTTATTATAAAAATTACCAATTATTAACATGCTTAAAACAAATTTACATTCTCTTATAAAATAGATTGGTCGGGGAATGTAAAATTTGTAATGTTTTTGTTAATTAATGTTTTTAGAAAACTCATCCACAAGATAAATATAGCGATCCCGGGTTTACTCTTGTTAAACAGTGATCCGGACATGTGTCTGTGGATGTTGGTGGTTGATTATTATCTTGTTTACATCCTTTTTACTTCGCATTTGAGTTATAGGATGTGTTGGGCAGGTTTGTTACAGGTTGGTTGAGTTTGGAAACCAAAACTAGTTGCCTAGATTTTTACCTGTCCGCTCGAGCGGGGGTTTTGGCGCTCGAGCGGGAATTGCACCCATCTAGTATTTCCTGTGCAGCGTTGGACGCTCGAGCGTGGAGTTGGACGCTCGAGCGGGGTTGTGTGAGTGCCGCTTGAGCGGGGAGTTGGAAGCTCGAGCGGAAACCTGGTTTTGTAAAAAGTTCTGAGAGTGTGCATCCACCGCTCGAGCGGGATTGTTGGCGCTCGAGCGGGAGTCTGTGAGTGACGCTCGAGCGTGGTTTTTGACGCTCGAGCGGGTCGACTGGGTTTAAGTTCCGTGTTTTAACTTTTCAAATCACTTTTTCACTTTCTCTTCTCTCTCCTACTTTTCCAAAAACACCATTGTTGAGCCTCTCACTCTAGAACTCTACCTTCTCTCTAGGTTTTGATCTAGTAGGAGTGATTTGCCCATCTTTGGCCTTTACAAAAAAGTTGTTGATCGTCAAGGGCTACATTTTAATCTGAAAATTTCGGGATTTGGAGCACGTTGGGTTTTGTCATCTTCTCCCTTGGGGCTCCGAATTTGAGGTAGGGATATCCTACTCCTCTCTATGGATTTTGTCTTTAAATTTTAGTATTTTGAGATGTTGGGGTTGGTTTGGTAATTTTGTGAACATAACGTAATTTTGTGTAATTTTACAAAAAATAAACAAAAAAAGAAAATTGAATAAAAATGGAAGTTGAATAAAAATAAAAACGGAAGTTGCATAAAGTTAAAAATGAAAGTTCATTGAAGAAACAACTATACCTTGACGATCTATTTGGAA